CCTGCATTCTGAAACTATCCCAGCAGATACATCCCTATCAGATACACTCAGTTCCCTGCAAGGGTGAATGGGCCTTGAAAGTACGGGACATGTACAATCCCTTCTGAATGAGGGGACACAACAAACAACTGAAGAATACCAAACAACACAAGCATTTCAAAGATGCAAGTATTTAAAAGCTCTTCAAATAGCTCTGATGGGCCACTTCAAACTGCACTACAGGCGGCAGGTAGCACTCTAAGAGCCAGATGAAGCTAGAGTCATGTGCGTTACATGTCTAAGAGTATGAATGAAATATGTGAATTTCACGAAATCTGTTCAGGACATATTCAACCAATTCAAAAAATTATTTTGCATTAAGAAGCAAAATCTATTTTATTTAGACAATGACAATATTTTCAATATACTGTATAATGTAATGTGTAATTTGCACGTTTTACTTTTGGAATTTTTACTTATTGAACGTTTTAGGAAACTTTTAACACTGCCTGTTCATAGAAGGCAACAGGCCAGGATATTGTGCACAAGGGCCGTTTGACACTGAGGTCGGCGTGTAATTTCGCTGACATCTTTATGGTCTACTCAGCTCTGGAGATTTTATCTTCAGTCTTACCAAAGGAACTGATGCAAGTATCTGTGGCAAGCCAAAGTTCTTAAATGAAAGAGCCATCTTTTGCAAAAGTCAACAGGCTTCCAAAAGGCTGAACCATATAAAGCCATCTTTAATGATTTTTAATTTGTAAATGTATGAATATCTTTCATATTGTTAGTAATATTTCAAGATGAACACATACCGGACTGAAGCTTATGTTTACTTGATTATCATCAATCAATTAATAAAAATAAAAAAAATAATAAAAATAAAAATCATGTCAAAATAAGGCATTTGAGGAACATTTATTTGTATATAATGCATTGCATTGTATGTTTTGATCATTAAACTAAGCATTCAAATATAATCTTACTAATACTTATTTTTGGAGATATAGAGTGACAAATAGGCCATTGTGTGTCAAGTCAACCAAATTTCAGAAACGTCCCAGGCTCAAAGTTTTGATTTTGTCAAATATTTTTTTTCTGAAGAAAGATAAACATGTATAGCGATGAAAGCCGGAATATTAAATGTCATAGATGTACATTAAATGAGTAATCCACTACTTTGTAGACAGGGGTCAAAATGACAATTTGCACCTGAAAGCCAAATTACAGGGGGGTAAAAATTCCTTTGGAAAAATGGCAGCATCAAGTTATTTTCACACAGAGATCAGTAGGTCTATTATTAAAATCTGTTGACTTTAGCAATCTTTGTTGCATTATATGCAATTGATGACCATTTACAAATGGAAAAAAAGCAATTTTTTTCTCCTTGTTGGGCATTAAGTTACATGTCTCTAACTCAATCTTAATGCCCTTTTAGATTTTGGGTTTTAACAAAAATTTCTTTAGGTATCTTCATTTTAAAGGCTCTATATATAAAGATATAGAAGTATCAATATGGCTCCAGGAGTAAATTATTAAACTGTACACATTTCCAGTGGTCAAAAACCAAAAGTGGGTCACTTTGCATACAGCTGAATCTTTTTTTTTAAGAGGAATGTCTGATGAAACAAATAATGTTGAAACTAGAATTTTTTTTTTTTTAAAAATAAGAAAATACATACTTGCAGTGTCAACAGTCATAACTAGATAAACACAAAAACATTTGTTTTTCAACCACTGAAAATTTGTAGGATTCAACCATTTAGACATGGAGCCACACTGAGATCCGGATATCTCTGGGACTGAACAATATAGGGCCTAAAATGAAGACTCCAAAAGAAAAGTTTATTAAGAACCACAATTTAAAAGGATATTAAGACATTTAATACTTAGAGTTACAAACGTGCAAACTTCTGTGGCATGACTGTTCTAAGGTATAGTCTATACAACTGGGAAACAAGATACATTTCTTCTTTCAATATGATTTGTTCTTCAGACATTGTTTTTTAAACACAATAAGTATCAGCTGTATGCAAAGTGACCACATTTGGTTTTCATCCATTGAAAATGGGTAAAATTCAACAAATTGGACATTGAGTCGCATTGGGCTCCCCATATCTCTGGGATTGAACCATGTAGGACCTTAAAAATTAAGATTACAAAAGAAAAGTTTATTAAAAACCACCATTTAAAATTATATTGATATATCTTTCATATTTCTTGAGTTTTAGGCACGCAAACTTTGGAAAAATAATATTTATGGAAATCAGACAGGTATGTTCTACGCAATGTTTTGATAGAGGGAAAAAAGATACATTTCTAGTTTCAACATTGTTTGTTCTTCAGACATTCCACTTTAAAAGAAAAAAGTATCATCTGAATGCAAAGAGACCCACATTTGTTTTTTTTGGCCACTGAAAATGTGTACAATTTAACAATTTACTGCTGGAGCCATAGTGAGATTCCAGTTTCGTTGGATTACATAATGATGCTGCCATCTTTCTAAAGTCATTTTACCCTCCTGTAATTTGGCTCTGAATCTCAGGTGAAAACTGTCATTTTGACCCCCTCCCAACAAAACAGCGGATTACTCAGTAAATATACATTCACAACATTTAATTTTAGATGTGTGTAATATTTTGTCAAATCATAAGTAGGGCTTTACATGGTTAAAAGGCTCAAACATTCAATTAATTGTGTAATTACATGTAGACAGTTTAATTACGCATTCCTCTGGGACAAATAAAGTCTGATTTCAAGTCAATGTCGCATGAACCTCTAAACAAATTTTGTACTGCTCAAAATGGCATATGTTGTGTTAAGTCAGCCAATATTATTACCTCTAGTCAAATTAAGAACTTTTTCACTGAGCAACATGCATCAGATAATAGGTGAATAGACTGTGGCTGGTCCATGAACGTGCAAAGCGTCTAAAGGTCACTAACACTGACACCCATTTATAGTGACATAGTGACCAGAAGCCATTCATTTTCAAAGAGAGTTGTTTGTTTGAGCTGACATGAGTGAATGCTGGAAATACAAAGTTCACTAATACAACATGTACAGTGATGTGATGGGTCGACTACAGCAAGCTGACATGATTGGCCTCATCAGACTGCTTTTGACACTAATTGAGCTGAAACACCCACTAGGTAACCTCAATCGCTGTCTGTGAGAATGCACCTAATGCTGAACCTAGCGGAACACTAACCTTAGTAATAGCAGGATATCCAGCAGCCACGTCGGCTGGGCAGTACAGCCTCTCTTCATGGGACACTTCCACTGAGGTGGCCCACTGGTCCAGAAAACCATTCGGCGTGTACAGGCCACAATCCTTCACACTCGTCTCCCGTTCAAAGTCTTCACAGATGCCATCACCGTCATAATAGTAGCACATACTGGGCTCATCTGAACACACGTGTGCATGTTTGTGTTTGAGAAAGACAGAGAGACAGTCATGTTAGCAAGAAAAAAAAATCTACAAACACTGAATATATATTTTTACAATAAATCCTAAAGATTTGGAACGTACATGATGATGATTTTGGCTGAACTGTTCCTTTAACAGTCAGATGTACTGCATGTTTTAGTCAGAATGCCTTTTTTCCCCTCCAAGTTATACATATAAACAGCCAAATATCACATCTGGGCATTAGGTCTTACAGAGGTTTTATTACGCTGTATTAATTAATTTATTGTTTGTTTGTTTGTATGATCACCTGAAAAATCCTTAAAATCTGTGAAAATTGCATTGTCATTGGTATTGACTGCTGATATTTTGGTATAACCCGATTGTACTTGCTTATGTATGCTTACAAAGTTCCTTAGGAATTACTAAGACTTTTTGAAGCTTAGTGGCATACTACGATCTAAAAAATGCTGGGTTAAAAAGGGACAAACCCAGCTATTGGGTTGTTTTGCACCTAACCGCGGGGTCAAAACAACCCAACTGCTGGGTCAAAACAACCCAAAAGCTGGGTCAAAACAACCCAAAAGCTGGGTCAAAACGACCCAACTGATGGGTCAAAACAACCCAAAAGCTGGGTCAAAACAACCCAACTGCTGGGTCAAAACGACCCAATAGCTGGGTCAAAACAACCCAACTGCTGGGTCAAAACGACCCAATAGCTGGGTCAAAACGACCCAATAGCTGAGTCAAAACAACCCAACTGTTGGGTTTGTCCCTTTTTAACCCAGCATTTTTTAGCGTGTAGACACCAAAAAAAAAAGAAAACTCATATTTAATGTCCAGTTTCATAAGACTCCACAGTGACAAGGCAGTAAATAGAAAGAAAGAAAGAAAGAAAGAAAGAAAGAAAGAAAGAAAGAAAGAAAGAAAGAAAGAAAGAAAGAAAGAAAGAAAGAAAGAAAGAAAGAAAGAAAGAAAGAAAGAAAGAAAGAAAGAAAGAAAGAAAGAAAGAAAGAAAGAAAGAAAGAAAGAAAGAAAGAAAGAAAGAAAGAAAGAAAGAAAGAAAGAAAGAAAGAAAGAAAGAAAGAAAGAAAGAAAGAAAGAAAGAAAGAAAGAAAGAAAGAAAGAAAGAAAGAAAGAAAGAAAGAAAGAAAGAAAGAAAGAAAGAAAGAAAGAAAGAAAGAAATCTGATACACCTCTTGCTCACAAAGTCACTGACTGGTTCCTCTTTCTTGCAGTATATCCTGATATGCTAACAAATAGAAACTGCATATGCTTTGTACGTAGTGGTTATCATCTTGGCAGCGCTATGTAATGCAGAGTTCTCCAAAAAGTGGTTCTGTAGCTGTATTGCTTGAATTGTCTTCCAATTATGGTTTGATCTAAAAAAAAATACTCCATTAAATTCCATTGTCCTTCCCACATTAAATTGCATTAAGTAAAAGTCAAATTTAATGCATGATCATATGACTCAATCCGATATACAGCATCAATAATACTTATTTTAATGGCTTTCAAATGTAAGTATCATAAATTATGTATATACCTGTAACTATACTCATGTTCCAGGCTAAAATGCTAAAATGCACCACTCAGTTTTATGCAATAAAACGGTGTAGTGTAACTCTATCCATCAAGGGATCAAGGTTGTGATCTGCTTTAAGGATAATTCATATTTGACTATCGTGTTTCAAAGAATTCATTCAGATCTTGATACAAGAATCAAACCAGTTGAAAAATATGTAAGCACCATTTAAAATGTGTTGGATTTAATGGTAATCAGATGCAATAAAATGTAAAATAAAGTGCAAATGAAAAGTTTTACATTTACTGCATTATAAGAAGAAATTGCTCTGAATTGCAAGTATGTAAAACCCAGGCTCATTGAGAAAAGTGTTTCGTGACACTTGAGTGAAAACAGTGAGTGGTTAAAAAGTGTGGTCAGTTTTATCCAAAACATGAATCTGGCAGTGTTTTGTTACATTGGTTGTTGTACATATAGTGCCAGGTCAGAAATGAAATGTCCAGTGAGTGGTGTTAAAAGGTTAATACTCTATTGCGTTTGAAAATAGCGTGCCACCAACACTAAACCTAAAACAATAGTGTTTAAAAAAAAGCAGATGTCAGATAAAAATGCATTGCTTTGAGCTCTTTTATCATTTTAGGGACTCATACCCAAGCTCTCCACATTGCAATGCTTTACCGGGTGCGCTACTGAGCAAGTTTACTATGTCAAAAAAGCCAATGATATGGAGCTGACTATGTGATGCAGACATCAAAATGTATTGTTTTACAAATCATCCACTATGGCAAACGTGGTTTGAGACATTGTATTGTTTGACTACTCATAACATTGTATTGTGCAAGGAACCACATGAAAATAATTATTTATTTAATCATTAATATTTTTTTTTCATTGAGACTGGGTTGAAAATTGGTCTTTATTAAACGCTTATCAGGCATGGTGTGACTTTCTGTATACACTCTAAAAAATGCTGGGTTGTTTCAACCCAATGTTGGGTCAAATATGGACTAACCCAACTGTTGGGTTAAAAAGTTAATTTAAAAATGTAACCAAAATTTAACCCAACAGTTGGGTTAGTACATATTTGACCCAACATTGGGTTGAAACAACCCAGCATTTTTTAGAGTGTAGAAGTCAGAAATATTTAATGATCTGTTTGAGTTTAGTACTAAGAGCATTAAAAAAAAGAAAAACGTTTCTGTTTAGTTTTAGCTACCTATAAATATCATTGTTTGAGTTAGACCATGCACACAAGATTGTTGGATATCACAGGTAGCAAAGTAAGCATCCAAACCTGTCGATGGTGTGTGAATTCAGAACATTTACCAGCTATACTGTAAATATCTTACTAGCCATGAAACTGTTTTGCATCTATGCATGCTTTTGTCCACATGTCAATTGGTTTGTTAGGCAGTTTTCCCTTGCATACTAAGGACAAACACCACAGGTCATTGTGTCACATTCACATCATCATATCAGAGAAGAGCCAGTCTCTGTTTCTGAGAGAAACTGGACCCACTTCAAAACTGTGAAGACACATTGTGATCTTTCTCTTAAAGTGTTCACTTTGATGGCTCAATGTGAGCAATATTCAACATATGTGTCACCACATGGAGTTCTAGAATGTAATTTATTGCTGAGATCAAAAGCTGAATTTTTAGAAGCATTACTCCAGTATTCAGTATCATATGATCCCTCAGAAATCATTCTAATATGCTGGTTTGCTGCTCAATAAACATTTCTGATTATTATCAATGTTGAAAACAGTTGTGCTTTATAATATTTTTGTGGAAACCGTGATACATTACATTTTATTTTTTTCAGGATTTTTTGAAGAAAAGAAAGTGGTCCCACTTTATATTAATTGGCCCTAATACCTGTGTACTTACGTAGTGACTAGATGTGTGCATAGTATGCAACCACAGTGTAAGTACACATTGGTACATTGTATCTAGAGCTGTAATATTTCTGTAACTACACACATGTAACAACCCTCCGAATGGTTTGTGGAAGTACAAATGTGCAACAGGACATATATAACTACATTCTGTAACAACAATATGTATAAGAGTAATTGGAACGATTTGATCCAGGGGGTGGAGATGGGTAGGTTTAGGGATATGTAAAGTGGGAGGAGTTGGATCTCAAGTTGGTGGAGTTGGTGCACCACTGTAATACCAGTGTACTTACATGGTAACTCCTCAGGAACTGTCCACTTAATATAAAGTGTAACATTCTGGACACCAACCACAATTTATATGTAAAGCCTAACTTACTGGCCGCTGCTGTGTAACATCAGAGTAATTACATGGTAGATTCATAGGAATTGTTTACTTAATATAAAGTGGAACACTTTCTTTACCAAAAAGTGCTGTTAGTCCTGTTACACATTTGTACTTTCACTACCAAAAAATGTTGTTACCAATGTCATGTTACACATTTGTATTTACACATACCATTCAGTGGGTTGTTACATATGTGTAGTTACACAAACATTACAGCTATAGATACTATGTACCAATGTGTACTTACACTGTGGTTAAATACTATGAACACATCTAGTTACTATGTAAGTAAACAGGTATTAGGGCCACTTAATATAAAGTGGGACCAATGGGCCATTTATTTGGTACTCGATTCGGTTGTCGATGTTGTGATCAGTGTTGGGGAAAGTTACGCATGCATTACAATATTGCGTTACTCCCTAAAAAAGTAACTAATTGTGTTACATAGTTACTTTTTATGGAAACTCACGCTACTTTTAATGCGTTATCGCCAACACTGTGATTGCCTTACCCCTTCGCATATGAAATTAGTAACAACATTCACTCACAGGTTATACGTTTGCTGTTGGTCTAAAATGGCTTGCGAGCCAAGCTGCTGAACTCTGAATAGTTGTCATTGATGTGCTCTATATCATGAGCAGTATAAGTGTCTATTTCAGACTTATGAGGCTCTATTCATTTGTCTCTAACAGTAAACAAAAATATCCTACCGCTGTCTTTCAATGACGTAATCTTTCCTCAAGCTCGGACCATAAAAACGGAGTCCGGAACTCATTCTATTATTAAAACTACAGAGCGAGAGAAGGTGCCAAAGCATCCTTCATGAATTTGTTAGTATGTTCGTTTTGAATTAAACGTGTTGCAGATTTTACAAGGATGTCAAAATGCTAGTGATAAAATAGCTTTGGCTCTGGAGGGAGCGAATAAAAGAGCTCAGCTAAAGTGCTGCGCTCAAAGATGTTTTCGTTTTTCAGATTGAGACGATAACACGTCTCGCAAAACCGTCGACCAAAACTGATGTACAGCAGTGACTACATTTAAAAGCATGCCACATTTTCTGATACGCAGTCGTAGCTGTATGACAGGTGGCTGTAATGAGCCGCTGATGCACTTACGCTTTCTCTCCACACTTACCAATACAGTTAAAAAACGACTCCTTCTTGCAGTGGCCGGAGCAGCCGTCTCCATTCATAGTGTTCATATCATCACATTCCTCTCCCTGGGACCTGAAATAAATCAATGCGTACGTAATAAACATAATGATGATTTCCCTTGGTGGACATGAATCTGTGTTGGTAAAAGCATGAACATCTGAAGCCTGCAGTGTGGATATGGCAGTATACTTTCCAAAAACTTTAAAAAGTTTAGTTGTGGCAGTGCGGTCGAGCCTCAAGGTTATTCTGAAGATCTTCTAAATCAGTGCTTCTCAACCTTTTCGACCCCCACTATTTAACACAATATTCAAAGGCCCCTTATGAAATATAATATTAACCAAGCAATAACTGCAATATAAATTAACATATTCTGGGAGTGTCATCGAGGTAAATTAATGAACCAATTTGTGACTTTTTCAAGAACTGCATGTTCTTCAATAACAACGATAGTTGTAGAATAGAAACAATAGAAACATGTTACATCGTGATATGTTGGAGTTTATATTCATATATTATATATCAAATTAATTAATTTATTAAAATTATTAATAATAACTCAAGTTAAAACTGTAATTGAAAAAAACAATACAAACTATATAGACAATGAAAAAAAAATCATAAACTAATAAAAATCTGTTTTCTGAAAACAGAAATTTTAAAAGTGAAAACTAGGAATACACTTTATAATAGTATCTTCAATTATACCAAAATAGCACTGCTTTACATCTCGCATGCTTTTTTCTATTTTAATTTAGATTATTAAAATGGACTATTAATTTTATAAATATCATATTTTTAACAATACATTAATTTCAGTAATTTAAAGTTCTCGAAGGCTCACCACTATGCAACACAATATTCAAAGGGCCATATTTTATTTTAACTTTAATATTAATTTAAATCATTGAAAGTCATCATGCAGAACCCTTGGAAGTTTGCTGAGGCTCTCCAGTGGGCCCCGGTCCCCGGTTAAGGTCTACTGCTCTAAAGGCTTTGGAAACACATCCGAACCTACCTCTGGATGAGACCATCTCCACAGTACGGCGCTCCAAGACGGTGTGTCAGTGGAGGTGATGATTCACTCTCGCTCCGACTGGAGATGGTTTGGACCTGGTATGTGTATATCCCACCATACTCAACCTCCCTGTGGAAAAAATAATTATATATATATGTGAAAAGCAAAAAACCATCACACATCTGTGCAGGATCAGGACGTACTTTTGCATTAAGGGGTGATATTTGCCATCTGCTCTTGATTTATTTATGCCAAATACTTGTATTTTTTTTATTCATTAAATCAATCAGAATACTATAGGCTGTTACCAATTAAATTCAATCAACATTAACAAAAGCCATGTTTCTATAGCCTATGTTTTTTTTATTTCTGTGTTTAATTATGTGTATGTATGTAAGTGAATGTACAGTTCTGTTTGATACATCTATGTATTTTTCTGGTGCGCAAAGAACGTCTCCCAATACTGCCCTTACAGGACAAAAATATATTTCCATATATTTATGATCAGTATATTCCCTTACCAATGTATTAAATGATTTAACGGTTTATTAAAAAATATGCATAATAATATACTGTGTTAATATATTACAATATATTGAATAATACAAAAGGTATTGCTGCTTTTCATATATTGAAAAATATTTGACAATATATTTACTTATCATAATGTATGTAATTTTATATTCAGTAATGCACTTCATAACATACAGATGTACATGTGATAAGAGATGGTACTTTGTGTCTATAAATACATTGAACATATATGTGACCCTGTCTGTGAACTCAAGTCTCAAAATATAATTATTAGATAACAAGCATCAAAGTTTGATTTCAACTATTAATTTCACTATGATTTCAATCTTTGCAATAGCCTTACTCAGTCAGTATTAGAAATATCTAGGATCCCCCCCCCCCCCCCCCCCCCCCCCCCCCCGTTTAATGAGGAGGTATCTAGACCGCAACATCGCGATGGTCATGTTCCCACACT